GACAGCACCGTGAGCATCTTGGTTGTGAGTATTTCCATCCTTGGCTCAAAGAAAACCTTTGTTGCTGACAAAGTGGTTCCTGTGTGTGTGGTGACAAATAAGTCCAGTAAATTGTTCTTTTTCCGTTATTGTTGTCATTGTTTGTTTTCTGTCTCCAACACCTTTCTGTCTGTCAGTTTTAAAGCCCCTCGTCCACTTGAATTTAAGCTCCTAACATGGGCTGTTCTTTCTATTCCTTCTAGTTGTTCAGCTGGAAAGCATCACATACTCTTGATACCTTTACCTGAATGTAGCCCTTCCTTTTTAAAGCTAACTCTTCCTTTTCTACTCTCTGCCATCGTTTTTTTGAGTTTCCTCTTTGTGCGTTGTGGTTATTTTCACGTTGTCTTTCTTTAGTTTAAAGTCATAATTTCTTCAGTATAGGTTATCCTCTTCTTTCTTTTTCTGTGCTTTGCTTCTCCAACTGGAAAGCCTGTGCAATGCTCTGAATGTCTTTCTTCTCTTGGAAATAGGCCTTTCTCAACATTGCTGTCTCATCCTTTTCTATCTTAAAAGACTTAATATCATCAATCATCTCGTTGTTTTCACCATGCAAAGCCCTCCATAAGTGCATCCTCGGTTCTTTGTTCAAAGTGGGGTTTTGTTTTCATGTTCAGTTTCTCCAGCTGGAAAACTTCCCTCATCATTTGAAAGTCTGACTTTTCTTGTAGGCCGCTCTTGCCATGACCATCTTCTTTCTTTTCATGTTGAATGTCTTCCTGCTAAAGACCACTCTTGAGTCCTCTCCTAAAGGCTTTTCTTTCTTCTTCTCTGTCCTCCCTTGCCAGCTGGAAGACATTCCTTGTCTCATAAGACTGTGAGCTCAATGTTGAGTGCACTTTGACTTTGAGTTCACTTTCAGATTTTCAACTTCTGGCCTTTCTTTGCTTTTTCATCTCCGGCTCCTCTTTCATCTTGCTTATCTTCGCCTCTTTGCACAAAGGTTTCTTCCGTGTCTCTTTTTCCAGGTAGATGTGATAGTTTGCCTACTTTTTAAGAGGTTTCTGAAATGGCAAGGACATTTTTGCCAACTTTTTGCTTCTGAAGCACAGCATGTCATTGAAATTCTTTTAGAAGCACAAAAGGGCTGAATTAGTTGGTTGACTCTACCACAGTTTTGCAGTTTAATCCAGTCGAGCTATTTTGTATTTGCTTGTTTGGTTGAGTTTTTTGGCTTTGGTGTATGTTTGGGGAAGGGTCAACCAAACGGCTATTTACTCAGTTTATATAGTGCAGGCCACAACAACAGTCATATTCACGGTGTTTTAAATTTAAGGTAAAATCCCTACAGTATTAGAGAGAAAAGACCAATGAGCATGCACTTGGCAGCCATCAAGAGAAAGAACAGGAAGAGACCTCTGGTAGAACCGGCCTCATGGAGGTGCTGTCCATCTGCTGCAGCTGGACCTGAGAGAAAAGCACAGAGAGATGGAAACGAGACACAAGAGTAACGCTTGGCAAGATGGTGAGAGCAGTGAGCACAGACCAAGAACATGCAGTATCTGCCAACCAAGTTAAAGAAGAAAGGTAATGGCATGTAATAGTGATATAGTGCATAACAGTGTGCATAACAGTGTGGATAACGGGGGGGGGGTCTCATTATCATGGTCTGCAACAACCTTTTCTTGCCAGGGTTTACAGCAAAGGTTTACAGCAAAACGTGTTGTAATGATCTGTACAAGGTACTTTTTGTGCTGCAGGTCGGTGTAGGTGATATATTGGAGTTACGCTGAAGGGGGGAAATTATTGGGTCACTAACTTGTGTATTAACGTTCCAACTATTTTAGCTTATGACGAAGATACAAAAGTGCAAAGTAACATCCAGAAACAGCCACCCACTTCCTCGGCCTGAGTTCAGTTAAGATGAGGAGCTGAAAACTGGGAGCCAGTGTGAGTGATGGCATCGGGTTGTGTTCATGCATATGGTGTGAAAAACGTCCGCACCACTATTATGGCTGTTAGTGCTTTGAAGGTGAAACCTTTTTGTAGATGAAGACTCTAAAACGGCTTGTACCCAAAGTCTTTTGTAGGATGTTGTTA